CAAACCAAGAGAGAACGCGGCGAATAACGGTTCGAATTTGTTGTTATTATTCATCAATTAATAAGTAAACGTTCACGTAACAACAACAATAATACAACGTTTACGCTCTTGCCGTTTATCCTTTTATTTATCTTTGCATTTGTTGTTAGTTTTCTGCCGCCTCTTTGTTCATGTTGTTGTTGTTGTTGTGGCCGCGTTGGTACAAAGGCAGGAAAAAAGACCACGGCAAATACGTTATTTATTATTTTTTGGTTTGTTACGCGGCACCGTTGAAATTGTTTTGTTTAAATTTTCACTTTTGGTTTTTTTTTGTCCGCCGGCGGTCCGCTCGCGGTCACGTCAACATTTCAAAAAAGAAAAAATGCGGCATGCACCTCTACTTATAGGTTTTTCCAAAATGAGCAGTGCTGGCACCTTGGCTTGAAATAGCTAATTTCCATTTAGCTTTTCCGGCTGTCGGTAATGCAGTTTCTAAGGAAACTAAGCAGATCCAAAGGAAAGTAAGCGGTTTGAAGTAGTTCCAATCAGTGCAAACTAGTTCCAAGCAGTGCATTTTTGGAAATATGGCTACCTATTTTTGGTAATTTTGAATTTGAATTTTTATTTTCTTGTTTTCTTCTTATTTCATCCCTTGTTTATCTCATTATTGGGAATATTTATATATATTTATATGTTTTTAATAAAAAAATGAAACGAACAAAAAACTAACAGTTTTGTAAATATAATCATAAACTAACTTTTTTCACAAAAATAAAACTAAAGATTTTAAAAAATCTGGCGTTTTGTAAGTTTTTGTGAAATTTGGAATGGCAGAGAAATGCTCTCTTTATTTTCCTCTCTCTAGCTCTTTTCTTCTCTCTCGCTCTATTCCTCTCTCTCTCACAGCTGTGCTCTCTGAAAGGGAAATTTTTGGTTGGCGCGTGTATGCCAGTTTTTTGAAATCCCTGAACTCAGCAAAAGGTGAAATAAATCCAAATAACTTTAAGAAATTTTTTTTTTGTTATTCTTAACTAAAAAAAAACAGACATTTATCCGGTAACTTAGTTCTTTAATAATGTATACAATAAATGTTTTCTGATTCCAAGCCTAAATATTAAATTATTTTTATACTCTTAGCAGAGTATTAAAATTTTAGTTAAAAAATTGTTACAGAGTGATTCTTGATCAGTATCAACAGCCGAATCGATCTAGACATGTTCGGAAGAAATTTTTTTTTTTAATTTTTTCCAAATTTTTAAGGAATTTTTTCATTAAAATTAAAAAAAAAATTAAAAATTAAAATTTTTTTAAATTACAAATTTAGTATGCAGATTTAAATCCCTGATAAAAACTAACATAGGTCAGCTTTCCGAATTAAAATTATTACATTTTTGGCTAAGTTACGAGATTTTTAAAATTCAATTTTTCGAAAAAAAAAAAAAAGGTCACATAAAAATATAGGTAAATATTGATTAAAAAATGGTATTTTAATTTTAGTAAGAAGCGTAAAACTTAGTAAAGGACTCAGTTCCGACCCTATAAATCATATATATTCTTGATCAGCATAAAAAGCCAAGTCGATCTAGCCACCTTTAGAGGAAAAAAAAATTAAAACTTTTTCATATTTTTTATGGGGTAAATCATTAAAGTTGTCAAAAAATATAATAAAATTTTAATTTTTTTGAAATTCTAAATTGTGTACGCAGATTTAAAATATAATAAAAACTAATAAAGGACAGCTTTCCGAATAAAAATTAATGCCTTTTTGGCTGAGTTATAAGATTTTTAAGTTTTGATTTTGTTCAAAAAATGTTTATATAAATCATCGATATTTATTTACAGAAAGCGAATATTTTAAGCTTATCGATTAGAAACTTGGCTATCGATATACAATAACCGATAATGTTGCCTTCTCTGGCATTGTGACGTCGACGTGCGTCTGGCCACACTGGTCCGGCAATAAATAATCAAAAAAAAACATTCGCAACTTTGTTGCGGGCGATAAAAAGCAATCCATCATTATAAAAACACAACAAAACAAATAAAAAACCATCAAATCAGTGATAAATCATTTGCATTGCACACACACACAAATAATTGAAAACAACAACAAACGAAAATGTGATGTTAAGTGAGTAAAATCCATTAAAACGGCAGAAGTGTGCGTGTGTGTGTGTTTGCGTGTGTGAGTGCTCGTGAAGTGCAAATAAAAGAAAGAGCAAAGCAAAGCAAAAAGGCAAAAGAGCGGCGCCAGCCAAAATATAAACAATTTATGATTTTTGGGCTCAATGTTTTTGCACGGGGATTAAATAAAAGTGTGAACACAATTTTGTTACCCCCTGTTATTTTTTTTTTGTTTTATTGTAAGGCTCCACTTCTCGCGCGTGTGTTTGTGTGGGTGAGATGAAACAAGAGCGAGAAAGAGATATATAAAGGGAGAGAGAGCGAGAAAGAGAGACCAGTTTCCAGCTGCCTTTGTGTGTGGATTTTATTTTGTTTTTTCTTTTTTATGCCTTCGTTTTGTTCTGTGATGTGATTTCTGAACTGCTGCGGATATTCCTTAAAAACATTATTCGGAACGGCGGCATCCCAACCCTTGTTTTGTTATCCCTTTTTTTTAAAGTGAGTGTGCGTGTGTGTGAGTGTGCGTTTTCAACCCCCAAAAACCCCCCGGCGAAAATCACTGAGCAATAAACCACCCACAAAACACCGCCCACAACAGCCACCCGTCTCCCCGCCCCCTGTTACCCCCTTTGAAAATATTTCTGGCCAACTGAAAATTTTCTTCTTCCAAGGTGATGATGTTGCTCTTCGTCTTCCTTCGCCTTCTTCTCCGTTGTTGCCTCTTCCAGGAGGAGCAGCAGCGCACACGAAAAAAGGGAGAACGAGCGAGCGAGCGAGAGAGAGAGCGAGCAATTCGAAAACTGTCGAAATAAAACGGCTTCTCCCCCACCCTCCCACCACCTTCTCCTTTGCAACCCACCTGCACCCCCTCTCCCCTCTCCACCATTCCACCTCCTCGCATGACGACGCTCTCAACCACTGGGGCTCGCCCTGTCTCTGTCGCACGCTCTTGCCCCATCTCATTCCCGCTGCCTTTCTGTGTGTTTCTTTTGTGCCTATTTCCGCTGCCGCTTGTTAGGTCAGCTCTTTTCATCTCCCTCTGCCTTCGCCCCACCCCCGTCCCCTTCTGCCCCATTCAGTTTTTTGGGCTCCAAGTTCTGGCAGTCCTTTAAATACAATGCAGGTCACAAGAATAGCCCCAATCGGTAGAAAATAATTATGTGTAGGAAACTAACTGCAGCTAATTTTATGTTTTAAAATATTAGCAAAAAACATTTTGATATTTTATTAATGTTTTAACTTTAAATCAAATATAATATCCGTGAAAATATAAAAGAAATATTAATATTACAACTTAAAAAATTTTTTTATGTATAATTTTTTAAAGATAGTTAAAACCCTTTAAATGCTCATTAAACATTAATCCACTTTTAAATGTTCCCAACTTTTGGCACAATTTGATTGTCCTCTGCTGTCGATTTTTTTTATTTTTGTTTTGGGCCTGCCGCTATGTGTGTGTGTGTGAATCAAATTGTGAGAGTGTGTGTGTGTGAGCTAGGGCAGAAAGGCAAAGGCAAAGGAAAACAAAAAAAGGGAGTAGGACAAGAACTCAAAGAAAAGGAACAATTTTTTTTATATTTCTCGCACTACAAATCCAATTAACTTTTGAAAATTGCGCGCTCTTGCGTGCGTTTACCAACACTGCTCATCGAATGCAACCCTGTGCGCGCTCACACACACACACACATGTTTGTAGAATTTTTTTTGTTATTATTGAACAGAAGAAAGAACAGCGCAAAAAAAAGAGCTTCACGAAGCGAACGTGTGTGAGTGTGAAAAAACGGCAACAACAAAAGTGTGGAAAAACGCGAGGGAAAGCGCGCTACCTCCTTCCTCTCCATCTCTCTCTCTCCCCCACTCCGTCTCTTTGCGCAAAGCAAAGCAAAGCCGAAAAAAAATTACTCGCGGGGGAGCAAAATCGGCAGAGGAAGAACAAGCAAAAGCAGAAGCCGAAGAAGAAGAAGAAGAAGCAGTGAAGGAGAGGAAGAAGAAGCAGCGCAGCCGCCGCTAATTGTCGCGTCGTTCGTTGTTGTTGCTGCGTCGCAAAAGAAAAAGAAAAGGAATCAAATAAATTTACCAATCAAAATTATTCGAATAATTGTAAGAATTTGTAAATAAGTTAAACGTGTAGAAAGGCAGCAGCGCAAGGCAATTAAAATCATAAAACTCAACGAAACGAGCGAGCAAAAAGGAAAACTATTAAAAACGCACACCAAAAAGGTCAAAATGTGAGCAAAGTGTGAGCGAGAGGGAAAGAGAGAGCGCGCGGCTAGGAGACGGAGACGGCAAACGCGCCTCCTTCCCCCCGAAAAATAACGAAAGAAAAATGGAGCAAAAGTGAAAAACTTGTGCGATTGTGTGTGGGGGGAAAAGCTAAAATTAATTTTTGTTTTTATTTCCAACTAGTTCTTCTGAGTGTTTGTGTGTGTGTGTGTGTGCGGGAGCTCCTGTGTGTGTGCATGTGTGTGTGTGTGTGATTTCGTAAAACGCATTTAAATTTTGTTAATAACAAAAAAACGTGTGTATTTATCTTACAGTTAGAACCAATTGCACAAAAATATATACATATATATATATATATAGAAGAATTAAGCAACAAAGCGGAGAGACGGAGGACAATTGAGAGCGAATCAATAAATAATAATAACAAAAAGCGAGAAGAAAACGGAAAAGTCAGCAGCGCCTTCACATGTACAAGTTCGTGTGTGTGTGCGTGTGTGAGTCCGTGTATGATTGCGTGCGTGTGTGTGTGTATGTGAAACAAACAATATTTCCTTTCAACACAACAACAACAGAAAATGTGGAAATCAAGTAAGGAATTAATAATAATAACAACAACAACAGCAGCAGCAGAAACAGGAGAAGAAGAAGCAGCAGCAGCAGCACAAACACAAAAAACAACAACATCAGCAGCAGCAGCAGCAGCGGCAGCGTCGTCGTCCAGCGACGTCAGCGTCGCCGCATGGAAATCGCAAAAAACCGCATGACAAGGAAATGGAAAATTTTTGTTCAGCCAAAAAAACCAAATGTGAACGCAAAGCAAAAGGCAAAACCAGGCAGGAGAGAAAAAACAAAACAAAATCGAAAGAAACAACGTGCGTGTGTTTGAGTGCTACAAAGTTTAACAAAAAGGTAGAAGAAGAAGAAAACGCAAAAAGAAGTTTTTAATTCAAATAAATAATAAAACGAAAAGCCGGAGAAAAGCGAAAGAGCGAGAGAAAGAGGAAGCTTAGCAGCCGCAAGAAGCAGCAACAAGAAGCAACATAAAAAAGAAGACGAGAAATTAAAATACTAAACAGAAAAGCGGCACAAACACAAACAACAAAATAATATTAAGTAAAGGAGGAGCAAAAGAAGAACCGTAAGAAGCAGCCGGTAAAATTTCAAAAGTTTGCGTAAAAAACAAAAGGAAACAAAGCCGCAAAAATAAAATCTACAACTTAAATCAATGGAAAAGCAGCGTAAACAAATGTAAGTAGCAAAAATAATCAAATTTATAGTAAAGTTAAAATAATAGAATGAAATTGAGAATAAAATATCAATATAAATAAGTTTCATGCAAGATTTGTCCTTAATAATCGTTGTAAACATTAATAACCCTATTTAAAATGTCAAATTTAATTTAGTTTGTTTACTTTAATGATAAATATCCATGAATATTGGAATTATTCTATTTAAAAGTTCTAATAAAAATAATAAAGTAATAAGAAATCAAGCCAATAAGAATAATACCTTAGGGAACCCTTGTATAAATGCCCCTTTTTCTTATATAAATAGTAATTCTCCTTATTTTTTTTTTTTTTTATCAATTTTAGATAAATCCGTGCAATACAAACTAAATAAACTCCGCCGTAGCCCTTCAGCATCTTGGAGAATGTAAGTAAAATCTCTTTTAAACAAAAGTGATAATATAATTAATATTTTATCAATATTTCAGATAGGAAATACCATACATTACATCGTTGCAGTTGTGGTTGTAGCCCCCAGAACCTAAAAAGGTGAACTTGATTGTAAATAAGTAATATTTACTACAGAATATTAGTAAAAAACTAAATTTTTAAGATGATTTTATAAGATTTTTACTTGAAAAATGATTTCCTTCACAAAAACTTGTATTATTGTTTGATTTCTAATCAAAATAATTGTAAACTATAATTTAAAATTCAGTAAATGCTCAAAATGTTTAAAAAATCCTTAGAAAACTCAATTAAGTGTAACAATTATTGGTAAAATGTGTTGTAACCTCCAGAAGATTTTAAATCATTTAAAAATTTCCCAAATGTATGCCATATAACCTAGAAAACCCCTTCATTGCATTCTTTAAGGCTCATTTTGATCCAAAAAGCTGTCTAAATTTAATTGTTAACCAAAATAATTGTTAAATATTGTTGAGTAAATCAAGTATATACAGAAAAATGTTAAAAACCGTAATTAAGCTTAAAAACGTATGAAAACCATCAGAAGATTCGAAATCATTTTAAAAAGTAGCCAAAAGTATGTCTTTAAATGTTAGAAAAACCCTTCATTGCACAGTTTTAGGTGCATTTTGAATGCTATTAACAATAAAACACTAATACATATTCTCACTCTTATATTTTACAGATAACAACTGCATAAAGGATACCATATAAAATATATAAATATAATATAATAAATATTATATCGCTGCCATGGCCAGCAGCGCGACAAACGTCGACGGCGGCGGCAGCGCTACGTCGGCGGCGCTGCCCTCGTTATTTTCGAGCGCTGCCAGCGTTGCTGCCGCCGTTGGCGCCGCTGCCGGCGTTAAGGATATGGACGGACTGATTGCCATTAACGATAGCGCCCTATCGCAACAGATCGAATTTATACTGCAAGACGCTCCCATGGAGCAGGACGACGATCCGCATCAGCATTCGCACTCGCATTCGCATCATCAAACGCACTCGCACTCGCATCCCCATCATCATCATCATCATAATCCTCACCAGCAACAGCAGCAGTCGCAGTCGCAGTCGCAGTCGCATCATCATCTCAAATTAGAGAGCAGCAACAGCAACAACCACCCACCGACAGTCGCAGCAGCTTCCGCAGCAGCAGCCACTGTGACCACAACAAACAACAGCGCTTCCTTCAATACAAACAACAGCAACAACAGCAACAGCAACACCAACAATAGCAGCAGCAACAGCAGTAGCAGCAACAGCAATCATCTGGATAACCAGATCCTCCTCCAACAGCAGCAACAGCAGCAGCACCATCTCCTCAACGGTCGCCGGATCATCATCCAAACCACCAGCAGTGGCAGCAGCAATCAGGCTGCCACAGCCACAGTTTTGGCTGCCAGCGACATTAAGGAGGAGGAGGATGAGGAAGAGGATCCAGAGCTAAACGATGAGAACCTGCAGGACATCGAGGAGGAGGCCCAGGCAGCGGAGGCCGATGAAGAGCCAGAGACCACGGTCCAGCATCATCATCTGTCCTCCACGCGCGTTAAACTCGAGCTGGAAGAGGACGAAGAGATGCCCGATGAAGATGATGAGGAGGAAGAGGATGAGGATGAGGATGAGCATGCCCAGTTGGAATATCAAATCAGCACGAGTAGTGCCGGTTCCGGTGGGAGTGCAGCAGCAGCAGCAGCAGGAGGAGGAGGAGGAACAGCTGCTGCTGCCGGCCAGCAACAGCTGGTACAATTGCCGGCCGGCAGTATAGTGAGCACCACCCACCGATTGGCTGTCCCTGTCACCGAGGCTGCCCTCGTCCAGCTGCAACGGCGACCTGTTTACATTAGCAATGCGGTGGGCGGTTTGACAGCCGGCACAACATACGTTCGTATGCCGGCAACGGCTGTGATCAGTCGAAGTCCCATGACGGTGCTGAATGTGGTGCAACAGGCAATGCCAGCCACCCAATTGATACTGCAGACCCAGGCACCAGTGCAACAGCAGCAGCAGCAGCAGCAACAGTCGCAGGCTTCGGATCAGCAATTGGCCTTGGCCTTGGCGCAGCAACAACAGCAGCAGCAAGCTCAGCAGCAGGCTCAACAACAGGCGCAGCAGCAACAGCAACAGCAGCAAGCCCAACAGCAGCAAGCCCAACAGCAACAGTCCCATCCAGTGAAACCTCCAGCAGCAGCAGCAGCAGCATCATCCAGCTCTTCCTCTAGCAATAATAACAACAGTAACTCCAACACCACAACCACCAACAACAACAACAACAGCAGCAACACCAACACCACCAACAACAACACAACAACAAACACCAATGCCACCAGTTACCAGTGCGTGGAATGCGTCGAAAAGTTCGATTCCAAGGAGCTCTTCGACATCCATCGCAGCGGACATGCCAACAACATGAAGTGCGCCATCTGCAACATGGTGCTCAAGTCGTTGAAGAACTATGAGAAGCACTGCCTGCGTTGCAAGCCCTACGAGTGTCAGATCTGCGGTCGTGTTGTCCGCTTTCGACCGAACTTCATCAAACATATGCGAGTGCATACTGGCCAACAGTCGGAGCGGCACAAATACAAGTGCGAGGTGTGCCACAAGGAGTTTATGAGCTTCGAGTACTTTAAGGTGCACAAGAAAATCCACAACGAGAATGTGAATCTCACCTGTGAGATCTGCGGCAAGGTGTTTAGTGCCCTCGCCTCGCTCCGTGGCCATTCAAAGTTGCATTCGGGCGTTAAGTTGCACAAGTAAGTGGATTAAATAGTGACAGAATCTCTCGATTTTATATAATTTCTTCCTTTTCCAGGTGCGATGTCTGCGGCAAGGGTTTCGGGCAGCGTTACAACCTAAAGATTCATGCCAGAACGCACACAGGAGACTTTCCCTTCGAGTGCAAGATCTGCAAGAAAAAGTTGCACACACAATCCTCGCTCCAGACGCACATGCAGGTCCATTTGCGGGATCAGCCTGGAGGAGCGGCGGCAGCAGCAGCAGCAGGATCAGCGACGACGGCATCATCGAAGGCATCAAACAGCAGTAATTCGAGCAACAGCAGCAACTCCAGCAGCAGCAATTCGAGCAGCAACAGCGGAACGGCAGCAGCAGCAGCGGCAGCGGCCGTGGCGGCGGCAGCCACAACGACGACAATCGTAAAGCTAGAGCCACCGCATGAGATGGATCGCCCGGGCACCAGCAACCAGCTGCATCATCAGCAACAGCAGCAGCAGCATCACCACCTGCAGCAGCAGCAACATCAGTTGGATATGGACGAACAGTCTGGCATGAGCGGGGACGAGGAGGATGGCAGTGGCGGCAATGTAATGGTTAACTCCTCCTCGCATATTGTGAACGCAACCACCAATCGCTTGACCACCGGCGAGGATTCATCCAATGAATCCTCGAATGCCTCGCTACACCAGCCGCTACACTCCTCCTCCTCTTCCTCGCCAGCAACGCAGCACCAGCAGCAGCAGGTGCAGCAGCAACAGCAGCAATATCTCGTTACGGCGCCCACCAGAACGATTGTCATCAAGAACTACATGCAACAGGGCAACCAGCAGCAGCAACATACCTCCGATACAACGCCCGTGCTGCATGCCCAGGTCATCCAAAGCGGTGCAGGCACCAGCAACGGCAGCGGGAACAACTCTACCACCATTTCCTCCTCCTCTAGCAGCAGCAATCTCAGCAATGGCTCTCAGTTGATACGAAAGACGCCAATTATTCATCATTCAACCAATAATACCAACAGCACCGGCAGCAGCGGAGTAGCGTTGACCAGCGTAGTGCAGCAGACAGGTGGTGAGTTTTCAATTAAAATTAATACTAGATGTATATTCCTATGCTAAGTTTTACTGTATTGATATCCCTGTGCCAGTTGTTTCGCCCGCTCAATCGCCATCATCGTCCTCGACCTCGTGCTCCTCGCAAACAGTGCTCGTATCAAAGGCCACCGGTGTGCCACTATCCATTGCCTCATCGGCAGCGGCGGCGGCAGCTTTAGGTGGCTCTACGATTATACGTAGCACTAGGAACCACCACCAGCAGCAGCAGCAACAGCAGCAGCAACAAACCCAACAACAGCAACAGCAGCAGCGGGTGACGCAGCAGCGTAATAACCACCGAAACCACCACCGACGTCGTCATCTGGCGGATATGGATGATGATGAAGATGAGGACGAAGATCAGCAGCAGACGCAACAGCAGCAGCAGCAGCAGCAATCCCTGCATCATCATCAGCAGCAGCATCATCATCACAATCACCATCATAATCATCATAATCATCACAATCATCATTTCGATGACGATGATGACGATGAGAAATCATCACCGTCCCTGGCCACAGCAGCCATCATAAAGGTGGAACCAAATCTATATTCCTCCGGTTCCGGCGATAACTCCAACGATATGTTCATCAAGGAGGAGGTCATGTTTGAGGATTCAGCGGCACCGCATTCCCCCCAATCGCCACCAAGTTCGAAATTTCGCATATCGAACTTTGATAGCGATCTGGTGGACCATCATGTGGATTTGAATCATTCGCTGCCGCCGTATGGTAACTTGTTTGAGCCGCATTCGATACCGGATAGCATACCCGTACAGCTGTATCCGGACGATGATGATGACTTTCGGCTGGATCATAGTTCGCTGGGTGGACTGCATAATACGACATCGTCGTCGACCACCGATGGGGATTTCATTAAGAAGGAATGGGTCTATGGCACCGGCACCAGTTCCTATGCCATGAACGGCAAATTTGATGATGACAGCGATGCGCTATGCGATGCGGCCAATTTCATATACAATTGAGTGATTACGAGAATGGAAAGAGAGCGGGAGCAGGATTATCATCAGTATCATCATCGCAGGAGCAACAATCATCATCGAGAGCAGGAGAAGACCGCAGAGAAGGAGCTAAAGTTGAAGGCGGATTATCGCAGCCATGTAGAGCTGATGGAAGGATGGTTGTTATTCAGCCACCAAGTTCATAGCCTATATACACACGTATATATTATATAAATGTCCCCCCGTATTCCCCCCGTAACCATTTAAAACACACACAAACACGCACACCTCTCACAACAAATTTTACACATCTCGGATACGATGCAATATGTATATATGGTTATTTTAAACTAATTTCGCTTTTAAAACTTTACATTTTAAGTCAAAAATTGCAAATATCAAAGGAAATTTTAATTAACTGACAATTTGTTTCGTTCTTTTGAACGTTTTTAAACTAATTTTAAGCTTAAAGTGATTTTATTTGTATATTTTAAGTCAAATTATTTTATTTTGTCCAATTTTAAATTGTTTATTTGTATAGAACAAGTGAAATTACTTTGAAATAACCATGGATAAGGTTGAGATGCATCCAAGAAATATATATATATTAGCAATATATATATATAGTACATACTTATCCCACATATATAGATAATTTACTATCTTTCTCTCTCTCTCTCTCTCTCTCTCTGTGTTGCGCTCGTGATAGATCTTATAACGTGATCTTAAGTCTAAATCAATGTGTAAAATATATATAATTTTTCCAATTCGCTTCAGTTGGAACTTTTCTCCCAGTGTGTAACCTTCCTGCTCCCATGTTTGTTGTGTAGTTGCTCGCTCTCACTCACTCACTCACTGACTGTGTGTCTCTGTCTCTGTTTCTCTCGTGAGATCTCTGTCTTTCGCTCTCTCACACTCACTCTCTCTCTTTTTGACTGTTTTTTTTTTCTCTTTCCGTGTCTCTGTGTCTGTCTCACTCTGATCTGTTATCTTTTTACCCCCCCACACTTTTAAATCTCACAAAATCTTTTTGAAGAAAAAGAAAAATTACCTTGTATAACTCTTGATGTGAAACACGAATTGTTTAAATATTTAAGCCCTGATTATTTTTATTTTTATTATTATTATCATTATGTATTACATATCATTTAGATGTATATTTTATATATATATATGTATATCAACCCGGACACCTTTCTGTATGGCGCTCAGCACATTGTAACGAGTAACGAGTAACGAGAACGAGACGAACCTAATTTTAGTTGTGTTGTGTGTGTATAGTTTCATTTGCATTTGATCTCTTTGAACTATAATCGATTTCAAATTCGATTTCGATTTCGGCTTTAAATTCAGTTCCTGTTTCTAATGGCAAAGATGATAACGTTGAGAAAATTGTATTATACATTTAATAGATATAAATATTATACGGACTAATAATGTGTATACCAATGTGCTGTCTCTATATAGAAAGATCTCGCCCATCATATATGTATATCTCTATATATATATCCCGATCCCTCTTTTGGAGGCGAACAACGCGTCCTTCAGTATTGGCTCCGAAATCGAATCCAAAAATATGCAAAAAACAAGTGAAAACGACACGATCAAATCCGGAGATGTTTTAATCTTTGGTTTAACCTTAACCGAGACTCGAGAAAACCTCCGTTTCTTGTCCTTATCTACGAGCTTTAATCGGTAATAACTCGTTTGTTTTCACTTAACCAGCAGTTAACCTTAACCTGTGTCTCGTTTGTTTTCACTTACCTAAAGCGCAGTATTTTTTTTTTTTTTTTTTATTATTTTTCCTTTTGTTTACAGTCGAGAATCCTTAACCTAATTTAATTTTTATTTGTATTTTGTAATTGTATTATTTGTAATACCATATTTAGTTTGTAGTTACATATCTTTTTTTTTCTGAGTCGGTTAGGATACTCGATGATAACAGCTCTTGACCGTTTAACAGTTTCTAATGTGCAATCTCTCTCCTACTGTCACTGGATCTTGACCCTTGACCTCTCACCTCTCGTCGCTCGAGCGGGTCGAATGAATCCCCCCCCCTGGATATGAATTTTTGTGGTTTCCTTAATTAGTTGCTAAGCCCAAGTGTCCCAAAACAAATGAAAACAAAACACGAACACGAATGATTATGATTTGCATTAAAATTAGATATATCTATATACATATATATATATATATAGATAATCTGTAGCTAAGCGTAAGCCTAATTTCTGTGTAGACTTTAAGCTGGAAGAGAGAGCATGCTTTAGCTTTAGCTTTACCACTAACATACGAAACTGCATAAGCATACGAATATATAATATATATAGAATACAGTATATATATTATATATAGCCGCTGTACAATTACTTGATCTTTAGCATTAACTTTTAATCACTTTTAATTTGCATTTACATCAAATCTTTTGTGTATTCATATATATATACATATATATATATATATATATTTTGAGTTCCCGATGGGAAGGCCAAGAATGCGAAGATTAAAAACTATCTAAAAACAAAACATATAATAATAATAATATATTATCCATCTGGTATGGGAATCGATCAATGGACGATTGAGAGGAAAGGAAAGTGGAGAATTTTAGCAGAAGGAGGAGGAAATAAATCCATAATGAGAACAAAACTTCTATCAAAAGCATTTAATGTTAACAGCATCGTAATGAATCCATATAAATTAATTAATTAAATATATATATATATATATAAAGAAAATATAATTATTACGTGTATAACGAAAAAGAAAGAATAAGAAAAAAAACACGAGTTAGCCAACAATTGTAAAGCGTAGTTGAAAGAATTAACCAATTTTTTTCCTGTTCTGTCGTGTAGAGATAAATATTAAAAATGAAAAGTGTTTAGATATTTTTTCTTTCCCATTTTTTTCGTGAGTTTACTTTGCTTTTTTGCTTCAAAGAGAGTTTTTTTTTTTAAGAATAATATATAATTATAATTGTTGTTGCTTGCCATTTTGTTTGTTACTAAAAGAATTAACTATAACAAGAGCCGTTAATCATAAAACAATAATCGAAACACACAACAAACACACACACACACATAGACACATAGAAAAGCTCAAAGGAAAAACACGCGCAAAAGAGAAAATGTTTTTATTTACAAGAAGAAAAAGGGAAAAGAAAAGAATCATTTACGGATTTGTCTTCCGCAAGAGTTTAAGGTTCGTTTCCGAACGATGTACAAATTTCCAGTTGATGAAATCGATAACCAGCGATAACCGATTACAATCCTGAACAATCCTGATCACTCCTCCCCCTAGCAAGGACCCCTTCTTTTGGCAATTAAGTTTGAGCAGGAAATCTCTTCAAAAATAAAAAATAAAAGAAAAACAGGTGGCAAGAGACACACTCCTCTTTTCAAGGTCATCCCACACCCACACACACACACACTGAGAGAAATCAAGAAGTGAAATCATTACAAGTAAGGAAAGTACGCCCCCCCCTCCCCAAAAAATTAAGAACAAAATATATACAATTTTCTTAGTTAAAAATACAAAAAAAAAAAAGAGAAAAACTATAAGAACTTTTTTGACTAAAAACCGAAACTTAAAAAAAATACGTGAATTTTTGTACATTTGCAAAATGGAAATATTGTAAGATTTAAAACAAAATCCAAAACAAATACTATTTTATATACCAAACAACAAAAAATGGAGAAAACAAAACCAACAAAGAAAGAAAGCAAGAAATGATTAACAACAACAACAACAAGAAAAACCCAACAACTTTGCACCACAACAACCAACAACCAACAACAACAACCAAACAAACCAACAACAACAAAGCTAAATTTTTAGAAATTTAATCTCAACGACTGCGCACACAACAACAACAAATTTTTTGTATTATATTGACAAAAAAAAAAAAAACAAAAACGAAAAAAGCAACTTAACTTTAATAAGATCGTGAATAAAAAAATAAAAGGAAGAGAGAGACGAAGTAACGCCGCGATATGGGGAAACGGGAGAAGAAAGCTAAAGTGAAATATTTTTTTAAGTGTAAACCAAGGCCGGTTAAAAGGCTTGGGCGCCAAATTTTCTGCAATAAAAAAAGTAAATTTAATAAAAATGCAACAACAACAAAAACATTGTAAACTTTATAGGCATATATATATATATATATATACACTAACACACACAACTTAAATGAATATTAAGCAAAGAGAAGAAGAAAGTCCAATTACAAAACACAAAAAACACACACAACATTCTTCTTCACATTGAAATTGAAGTTAAACGCTCAGTTTAGTCTGTTTTTTGTTGTTTGTTTTTGAAAATATATATGTTTTTAAATATATATATAAATATAATTTTTTTTTTACATAAATGTACCTAAAAAAAATGTGTAAGAAAAGAACAAATTCAATTCTTATTTCTATGTGTCTCCCCTTGTGTGTATGTAACCTTTTGCAAATCTAAATTTAATTAAAGCAAAAAATACAAAACAAAAATAAGGAAAACAAACAACACATAATCATATAAACGAGAAAAAAGCAAATAAATTAAAATTAAAAATTGTAACTAAGCCTTAAGGGAAAATAATTATTTTTAAATGGAAGAAATCGATTTGTTATGCACAAAATAAGCAGAAAAGCCAATTTTTTAAGTTACGAATTTGTTAAAGGATCTAAAGCGAAGACGAAGGAGCAAAGCAGAAAAAATATAAAAAAAGAGAAGGGAAAAATTAAAGTAAAAAGCAGAAATTTTACGCAAAACACGACTTTTTAAAGCATTTTCGAGAAATATTAAGGAAAAAATGGAAGAAAACCGAAACCGAAACCGAACAATTTCAATCTGAACAACAACATAAAGCCCACGAAAGTATATATATATATATAAATAAATAAATAAACACAAATAAAAACAAATAAATATATTTAAATAAATTATCTATAACAGAAAAAATGGTAAAGTAAATTAAACAAATCGTATTTATACACTATGAATGTCTAGTCGTATTTTCAGTATTATGTAATCCCCCAAAAACCCCCCCAAAAAACCCCCCTCTACCCCCCCCCCCAGTAAAAATAAATAAAAAGAAAAAAACTATAGAAAGCTAAGCTAAATGAATGTGAAAGAAAAATAAAACCAAGAAAAACAAATTTTTGAAAATGCAAACTAAAAATAAAAAACACAAAAAACAATTAAAATATAAACCAGAAATTATGTGTGTAGTGTGTACAATAAAACAGAAAAAAAAACGAAACAAAAAAAAACAACAGATTATGGTAAACAATTTTTAGAAGCATTTTTAACACATATGAAAACCAAACTAAACGTTTACATAAAAAATAAAAAAATATAAGAAGGAGGGAAAGGAAGTG